TCTAAGGTTTTCTAGCCTATTCTAGAAACCTCTATGCCTTCTTCGCTGTAGAATTTGCCTACGTTGGTGGCGGGACGTCACACGCTCCCCCACCTGATAAGGCGACGACCGCGGCGCATCGTTGTAAAAACTCCCGGATTTGGTCCTTGAATTGCCACAAGTCTTCATATTTCTCCCATGTGGCCTCTTCCGGGGATTGTCCCTTCCAATGTACAAGGAACATGGCACTGGCTGGTTGTCCCCGCTTCCGCTTTGCTTGATAATCTATGATGGCTTCTATCTCTCGGTCGTGCGAGGCAGTGACAGTAATGGGGGCCCGTCGGGGTTGGCTCCGGCTAGGGTCTTCCTTGTCCTCATGGTAAGGCTTGAGGACGCTTGCATGAAATACCGGATGGATTTTAAAGTGGGGAGGCAATTCCACTTTATATGAGATCTTGCCTACCTTGGCAACGATTCTGAACGGGCCCTCATATTTCCGCACTAAGTTTTGATGAACGCCCCTTAGTGCCTTGAACTGTCTTGGGTTGAATTTTACCAAGACCATGTCGCCTTCTTTATAGTCCGTGGGACGCCTCTTGCGGTCGGCGAACTTCTTCATCTTGTTTGCTGCCTTGTCCAAGTAAGACTTGGCAGCGTCAAGCTGCTCTTCCCATCCTTTGGCAAGATGGTAAGCTCCCAAACTCTTCCCTTCGAAAGCAGCCGGTAAAGAATGCGGAGTTTGGGGTTGTTGGCCTGTCGCCAACTCAAACGGTGTGCGCCCAGTGGACTCGCTCCTTTGTAAGTTATATGAAAACTGCGCCATATCCAGGAGTCTTGCCCAATCCTTTTGGTGCGCACTGACATAGTGCCTCAGATAGCACTCCAATAGGGCGTTGACGCGTTCGGTCTGGCCGTCTGTCTGCGGGTGGAAACTTGTGGAGAAATGTAGTTTTGTGCCAAGTATCTCGAACAGCTCCCTCTAAAAGTTTCCAGTAAAGCGGGGGTCTCGGTCGCTAATGATATGTCTAGGCAGCCCCCAATACTTCACCACGTTCTTGAAGAACAACCGAGCGGCTTCCTTTGCGGTGCATCCGGCTGTGGTGGGTATAAAGGTAGCATATTTTGAAAACCTGTCCACCACGACCATGATAGTCCCATACCCGTCGGACTTAGGTAGGGAAGTGATGAAGTCCATGGTTACGCTCTCCCATGGACGCTCCGCTACGGGTAGTGGCTCTAGTAGTCCTCCCGGATGTCTTTGCTCCACCTTGTCTTGTTGGCACACAAGACAAGTCTGCACGTAGCACTCTATGTCGTCCCGCATGCGTGGCCAGAAATAGATAGCCTCGATCAGCGCCCTCGTTCTTCGCTGCCCTGGATGCCCGGCCCACGGTGTGTCGTGACTTTCTTTGATGATCCGCCGCCTGATAGTCCCGAACTTTGGCACGTAGACCCTTCGACCGGATGTGAACAAAAGGCCATCTTCTGCCCAAAAGCGCCTTGTCCGGCCTTGGGTGGCCAACTCCATCAACTTCTTAGCCTCGGGATCATGTTGCATGCCATCTTTGATTGCATCTTGAATATCACAATGGACCGTTGTGATGGCAGCAATAGCAAGTTCGGCCTTCCTACTGAGCGCATCAGCCACAACGTTGCCCCTTCCTGGCTTGTTCTCCAAGATGTAGTCAAACTCTGCTAGAAAGTCCTGCCACCTAGCTTGTTTGGGGGTGATTTTCTTCTGAGACTGAAAGTAGCTAGTGGCCACGTTGTCCGTCTTAACTACGAACTTGGAGCCTAGCAAGTAGTGTCTCCACGTGCACAGGCAATGTACAATGGCCGTCATTTCCTTCTCTTGTACCGTATAGCGCCGTTCGGTCTCGTTTAGTTTGCGGCTCTCGAATGCTATCGGGTGTCTTTCTTGCATTAAGACTCCCCCAATGGCAAAGTCCGAAGCATCCGTGTGCACTTCGAAGGTTTTTGAAAAGTCGGGCAGCGTCAAGACCGGTTCCTCTGTCACTGCGATCTTGAGACCTTCGAAGGCTTGCTGGCACTCCGTGCTCCAAACCCACGGCTTATTTTTCTTCAA